AAGGTTCCCAGTGGCTTTAGCTGCTGCATCACTAAGCAGAATTAATTGAGAGAGTGTCATTTACCTGGTTTGAATTAGTCACTGTTTATGACCAAACAGTTTCCTTTTTTGTATGGTTTTGCCTTGTCTTTTTCCCTATTTTTAACATTCTGTTTTCTGTTTATTGTAAAACATCTGTTCTAATAGCCAATACAACATTCTTCCCAGTGTTCCCATGTTTAGTGATATTATTCACCCTTCAAAAATCAGTAATTCATCATTTAGTTTCTCTGCCAATACTATCTTTTCATATACGCAAGAAATATCATGCATATCAGATGCACAGAGGTGGGTGGTGGTTTACAACTTTTGTCCCTATTCCTCCTGCTTTCTAATAGTACACATTAGCTTCCCTCACTCTATGATCTTTTGCTTTTGTTTTTTCTTGTTTTGTCTCAGTCTGTAAATTCCTTAGAGTGCAGCAGCTTTGTCTTCCTTCCAAACAATAATAAAATGTATTTTGTTTCTGGAGCAAGGGACAGATACTTCCAGGCTTATTCTTGTATCTTAGTGGTTTCATTTCCTCAGACCTAGATGATGGCTTTACTTCTCCAGACCATTCTCGGGCAGGTGGCCAGCATATTGTGTGCAATTCAAGCCATGTTAGTTTTTAAATTACCACTTTTTTAGGGCTGAATAGTTAGGGAAATAAGATTTTTCCATACAGTGTCCAGCTGTCTAATCTCTCAAAAGTTTTCTCACCCCAGACCTGCTTTAGTTTGATAGCAGATGTTGGAGACATGGTGAACAGATTTTTTTTGGTTTTTACTTGGGCTACGAGGGTCAGTTGCATTGCTTTCTCTTGCTTCACTAGAATTTTTGTCTTTAAAAAAAGATCCCATTTCTGGTACCAGCGATGGGGATTTGTTTCATGGTAGTAAAGGTGGGAACTCTAGTACAGACCAGCTGCCAGATTCACATCACCAAGCCATCCTACCACATTTAACCAAGCTAGATAAGTGGTTAACATACTACTATCTACCCAGGCCTTGTCTGTTGCAGTTCTCACATTTGCTGCTGCTAGCAGAGCTGTATAGATAGTGGGGAGAAAGCACAGCGTAAAAGCAAGGTGATTCTACTACTTATCAAAGTGGTAACTGGCATTTTGGCTGTCTTAGTTTTTTTTTTCTCTCTCTCTCTGGTAGTGGCCTGACCACATTGTAATTCGAGCCCAATGATGCAGCTGTGCAGGACACTTTCAGTTTCTATTAAAATGCTGTTTTTCCTTGTGTACAGTATGCACCTTCCCCCAAAATTAGCCTCCCCTCTAAATTTGGGTGCATGTATTAAGCAGGGAAGCTGATTTTTTTTCCTGCCAGGGATGGAAGCAGCCTGCTTTGATTTCTGCTGCACAGTGCAGCAGCTGTGGCAGTTGATTGACCTAATAGCTCCTTGTTCTAATGATTGTGTGGCCTTTCTTAAGGCAATTTTTCTGTCTGCTACTGGTCTCATTCCTTGTCTTTCACAGCCTGGAAGACTCCTTTTAGCTCTTTTCAAAATCATAGGTCCATCCATGGAGTTGAGTCTTCAGCATTCATTAGGGAAGTCTGTATGTGAACATTCATATTGTGCATTCATGAGGACCTTAATACTAGATTTCAGCATAACCATAGATTGTCATTGGATCTGGGAAATTTTGTAATGAAAGACTTGAAACATTCAAGATTGTTTAGATCAGGAGTGCTCAGTCCTTGGTCCATGGTCTGGGTAGGGGCAGCTCAGTGCACCTGGAGCCTGATCCTGGCCAGATGGAGGCAGTACAGGGGCCCTGAGCCCAATCCCAGCCAGTGGTAGGGGGAAGGGAGCACCATGAGGCTCCCAGAACCCTATCTTGACTGGCTGGCGGGGGGGGGGGCAGGAGCATGGGTGGTATGAGCTCTGATCTGGCCCTTGTACTGGCCCTGTGCCTCTCATGTGGCTTGCAGGGCCACACCCAAGGGCACTACTGGTTTAGATTAATTTACGAGGAAAAAGGGATTTTCTTCTTTTCTATCTCAAGTGTATGAAACGTTGACCCATAAATGTATTTAGGAAGATTTACCAGTATATTATGTTAAGTATTGTATTGCTTTATCTGATTTGCTTATATTTTGCTAAAAACCTGAAGCTACCTCAAGGAAGTTCTAATACTTTGATATAGCTCTTCCTTTCTAACGTGCCCATATTAATACACTTGTTTCCTTCTCAAAAATCATGTCAGCTGACCAGACTTTGGTAACAAAGGGCACATATATATGTGCCAGAAATCTGCTTTAATGTGTGCTAATTAGCATGTGTCAGAGCATACTCAATTAATTGAGTCTGCTGGAGCATGCTAATTAGCACGCTCCAGCAGACTCCATATTTGTGTATTCAGCATCCTGTACTTCAAAATGGTGGTGGGGGCACTTTAACTAAAGCTCAACAAACAAGCTTTAGTTAAGGTCCCCTGCTGCGATTTTGAAGTGTGGGATGCTTTGGGCACTTCAATTAGAGTGACTCTGGGACCTGCTGTAATTAAAATGTCCCTCTCTCTACCCCGGAGCATGTGTAAAGATGCCCTAAAGTAGTAAAATAGGTGCAGTAGTCTTTGAGCCATTGTTCAGAGATAATCCTTAGGGCTCAGATTCACATCTTGCTGATTTGTTACCATGGAAGCTTTGGTATAAAACAGAGGTGCCAAACTTGTCTCTCCTTCCCCCACCTCCATATGCTGGATCCACAGCATGTGCTGCTGCATTTTGGGTTCCATGCTGCACAAGATGCCACCAGCTGGTCTAGGACTATGCTGGCCCTGGTGCCTACTCCAGCACTGGTCCTGGACCAGCTGGAGCAGGTGTTTGTATGCAGTGTGTTTTTTCGACTGGTTGAAGGGGAGGATATGGTCTGTGGTGCAGATGCCACTGCTGCCAAAAGGGCACCATATGCTGTACATGTCCCAGGCCCTGCCTGTGAAACTGAGCTCTGTATGGGTCACCTTAAACCCAGGGCTAGCATTGGGGGCTGGATGGCGGGGCTCCATGGGCCATATTTTAACACCCTTAATGTAGAAGATAAGGTGCTCCATTGGCTTTTTCAGTGTACTATTTCAGTCCACAGAGTGGGCAAACTAGAGTAAGTTACCAAGCAGGTGGGTTATGCCAAAAAGGAGATACTGTAAGGAAACTGTGGTTCAGAACTGTTTGCTTTTTCAGGGTCTTTGTGTTGTATTCACAGCAAAGATTATATGAATAACTTTTAATTTTATCTTTGGTTTGAATGTCAGCCATGAAGTCCTGGAAAATATTTGACGTTGTTGAGAAATCAAGTTTTTTCTCCCGGATTCTTTTTGTTTACTTTTATTGTATCTGTATTTATAGTAGCTGTGTTCTCTCACGCAGACTAGCAGGCCAAAATGACCCAGCTCGGGTCCAAGTCAGGCCAGTGCTAGGACCCGGCTACCTGCACTTCTCCCTGTTGCTGTTTCTCTCTGCTGTTGAGCTGTGGGGAGACAAGTGCGAAGAGCCTGGATGTGAGATGATACAGTGTGATGTGGGTACAACCCCTCTGCTGCCAAAGTTCCTGCACTATAGGTTGCTGACTTCTGATCTAGAGTATCTCAGTTACTCGCATCTTCGTTGTGCTGAAATGGAAAATATGGTATCTCTCTGACCTCTCTGACTGTGATTCAACAGAGTACTTAAGCACATGCTTAACTTGAAACCTGCTTTCTTCTTTAAATCACCCACTGAAATTAAACTGACTGTTCATCCCCTGGTTAGTGAATTTAGCAGGTTAACTTTTCCAATATCTGTCTGAGAATCCTCCTATAATATAGCCCTGCTTTTCAGTTATCCTGCTGAGAATTTGGCCACACACTGAATATTAATAAATAAATAAATTTAAAAAAATCTAACAAAACTCTCTTGTCATACAAGAAACTATTAAATTGTAAACATCCTCTGTTTTATAAGAACAATGGCATTCCTTTTATTTACCCCCATTTTGTCACCTTGTTTCTATGTACATGGTCACAACAATGAGCAAAGTGTGTTCAGAAGATTCAGAAAAAGCTTAAAACAACACACCGGTTGTCTCTTCTGGGTCTGTACCAGATAATAGACCCCAATTTTCCTAACACTTGAAGCCTGCATTTTCTGAAATCAGGTTCTTCCCTTCACATGTATGAGGGATGTTGGTGTGCTGCTTGGTTTCCGCCGGGAAGCTGTTTTTCAGTGATGTAATATTACCAAACACAGGAACTGTAGGCTGTTGGGAGTAGCTGTAAAGTGGATTCAGGCATTTGTCAGAATTGATGCTTTCTTTTCAGTTCAATTTTTCTGGCAAATTTTAGCCAGCAAATAGAGGTGCTGTTTTTCTTACGTGAGGGATCCAAAGCTTCACATGTGCTGCCTGCAGGACTTATCATTTACAAAACAGGTGATCCGCACACATCAGTGGAGCTGTAAACTGAGCTTTCCAAGGTAGGAACCAGCACACTGGGGAAGCTTCCTAGCATCTGTCTACAGCTGGGTAATAGGTAGCCTGAGAATAATACCAGAGGCCACAGCTACATTCATTCCCCTTCCCCTCCTCACCTCGCCACCTGTCTCACCTACTGACTACCTCAATTTACTTTTTAACTGACTAGCTTTCTTGTATACTTACTAGCCTCTGGCTGCTTTACTACTCCAGCCAGGAAGAGCACAGACAAACTGCAGATGTTTCTTCTGCCTTATGAAGGGTATTTTTACCCCAAAGCTTGCAAAGAAGAATTTTTCCAACTATTTGAGTTGGTCTAATAAAAGATACAGTATCAGATTTACCCAAAGAACCTTGTCTGCGTAGGGGCCGGAAAGCAACTCTACTGTCTAGCTGGCCTTGTGATTGCATCTAAGTTTAGAGCATGCTGAAGGAAGTGAAATTCACTTGCAGAATGATTAATAGTGGAGTTGTTTGAAATCTTAACATCCCTGTAACACCAGTCTTTCTGTTGTTTTTAGGGTTTAGCAGTGACTGTTTTTGAGAAGCAAGAAAATGATGAGTGATGCAAGTGACATGCTGGCTGCAGCTTTGGAACAGATGGATGGCATCATTGCAGGTAAAGCCTTAGATAGTTTTAGCTGCTTCCATCTTCCTTTTGTGTCTGGAGTTCTAATTTAAACAGAAGATTAATAGAACTGGCCTTGATGACTTCCTGTCTAGCTAGTTATGAAACTTAAAAGTGCAAACAATTTGGACGAGTGTTGCACAAACCCCTGCAAGCAGATAATGCCCAGTTTGTGGCTTTTCTCCTGTTATCAATAAACTGTCCACAAACATGGAGTATTACTGTTCAGCAGGTCCACCCATGTGTTGAAAGCCAAGGACGGGAATAGATAGGAATCTTTCAAATCAGGGTCCGAATGTGCTTAAAGAGTGAGCACCAAGGGGGGAGGAGGAGAAGCTTATCTATCTACTTCGTGTTTTACTCAAATCTACCGTTATTATGAATGGACCTGAATAGTAGACTTCAAATCAGAGGCTGGATTTTGATTTCTTCAAAGTTGAGGTCCAGAGTTTTGCTTTGGGTTTATCTTGAACATTAATGTTGTTATTTTGCCAAAGTATAAATAATTTATTTCTGAATGTTAACTGGGCAAAAAATGTACTACAGCAGAACCTGGATAATTTGCAGGGTGAGGCCCCCCCTTGTGAAGATGAGGGTTTGTGAAGTATAAGGCTATAGAGCCACAGTAAACAGTGGCATAGGATAGCTGGGGTGTTTTGGCTGTTTGCTGTGGCTTTTATTTCAAATGATTAATTCTAGCTGCTGCAAGCAGTGCCCTTTGAAGTCAAAGCCACAGCAAAAAACTGATCGGCATCTCCTTAATTTGGCACCATGATATGTATTAAACTAGTTGCAAACCACTTGTTTACAACTGATCCTCTACCAGACTACCTCCATTGTGTCCGGTGAGTAGTAAAAGACTACAACACTATAGGACAGGGAAACAGAGCAGGCAGAAGAAGTTCTTTGTTTGATCCCATTGCAGCAGAGCCACGTAAGCAGCTATGCAGACTGTTAAGTGTATGGTGTACAAGTCCCATGGACAGTAATTTTCATTGAATTACTAGTTTGATGAAGTGCCTGCTTTGTCTGAACAATGGTTATTCTCTGAAATGCTGACACAAGAGACATGCTTGCAGCAGGTACAGTAGACTCTCATGATCTAAAATAGATCAGTCTGTCACTATAAAGAGAAGAAGTAAGTAAGTAGATCTTTGCATATAGTTTAGATCAGGTGTTTCTTATGAAAGGCCCATGCAGGCCTTTGCAGTAATGGGTATAGTTATCACCAAGTTTAGGTCACAGAAGGCTGACTTACATGTCTTTACAGATATTTTCAATAATACTGCAGAGAAATTGGTAAATTATATCCTTATCAACTCTTAACAATTCTGTGAAGGATTTTTCTCTCATTCTTTCAAACAGAATGTACTTGTACATTTCAGAATGCCAAATGAAAGCAGGCTTAGGAAGACATGCGTATACTGCACCTGTATGCAATATCCAAACAGGTTATTAACTGTGTTATTAATATGTGTTGTTGTAGCTAAGAATTACAGTATTTAGGTCTCATATCAGTAGGTTGCAATAATGGGGCAGAATGCTGATTCAGGCTAGTTTAACTAATTCACTGACAACCTGAATTTCCCCCCTTCTTTTACTTTAATAGCCTTCAACTTAGAATGAACATATTTTGTATTAGTGAAAACTTTTACTCATTAATACTCATGTCAATATCTCACTATCCTGTTTGCTTAGGTATAGTTGACCTTTTTTTTCTTTTCAATTTTAGGGGCAGTCAGTCTACATTTCCCCTCTTTCCCTGTTCTTCGTTCCTTTAAAAACTTCCAAGGCTTTGCTTCAGTGTAGCCTTTGTTTCCGAGAGAAAAATGTTAAATACAGTTCACACTGAAAACTGTCAGGGTCACTTGAGCTATGTGATCACCATAAAACAATACAAGGTACTGCAGAGGTTGAGCATATGTCTTACAAAGTGTTCTCAGCCTTTGATATCCTTCAGAGGAGATGATCAGTTTTTGCCTAGAACTCCTGTATGCTCTATATTGGCATTTGTATCTGTGACAAGGCGGTCAGATGTCAGATCGGCCTACATATGTCTTGTTGAGTTTACTGTGAGTTAAAATTGTAGAAAATGTACAAGTAAAAGGGCACTTTTACACATGCTGGAGTGGGGAGGGGGAGGTGGTGCTTTAATTAAATTGAGAGCTGCTCTAATTAAACTGCCATAGCATCTCGTGTATCAGCATCCCTGCACTTCAGAATGGTGGAGGGGATGCTTGAGCTAAAGCTCGTTGAATGAGCTTTAGTTCAAGCACCCCAGCTGCTGATTTGTAGCACGGGGATGCTGATGCACAAGATGTGGAGGCTGGCTGGAGCGCTGTAATTACCATGCTCCAGCAGATTCAATTAATTGAATCTTGTTCCGATACCCTGTAACTGCAGTGCGTTGGAGCAGCCTCCGTGCTTGTATATGAGCATACAACGGATGTCCTCAAGGTAAGTTTGTCTGTCAGCCAAAAACCTTCTATGGTTACTTGCTAATGTGGAAATAATCATACATCCAAAAATTCTTGAAATTTTGGGGTTTTAAAATTCAGGTTCAGGTCTTTGTTCTGCTGAAAACAAAAACTTGCCACTAAGAAACCACCTATGAGTTTAATCTCCCAGTTGCATTATAACAGTTCAGATTGGTTCCTTTCTTGGTTTTCCTTTGTTGTTTATGTAATGTAATTGTTGTCCCTTTAACTTGCCTTACCCTAGGCTCCAAGGCTTTGGAGTATTCCAATGGCATATTTGATTGTCAGTCTCCTACGTCCCCATTCATGGGGAGCCTGCGAGCACTGCACCTTGTGGAGGATTTGCGTGGCTTACTGGAGATGATGGAAGCAGATGAAAGAGAAGGGTTGCGATGTCAAGTCCCAGATTCAACAGCAGAAACACTGATTGAATGGCTTCAGAGTCAAATGGTACAGTATTATCTTGATGTTCTTATGATGCATCTTTTACTTATTTACTGGGGCTGACCTACCTTTCCCATGATGCTGTACTGGATGCTACAAACTTTCTTCTAGATCAGAAAAACTTTTTAGTAAATATGATTTTTTTTTAATTTGAAAAAGGAAATATACATTAGGAAGCAGTTCTTATTCTTAATATAAATCTTTCAGATGGAAAAAAATTAATTTAAAAGCGATTTTGATAGAAAATACTTGCCTGGCTCTAACTCTAGTGCTAATAATCTCTTGGGAAAACTCATAGAATGGCAACATCTGTCATAGACTTTCTGAATTTGGTTTAGGAAGAAAGGAAATGGATTGTTCAGTTTGTGTCATTTAGATTTACATCAGGTGTACCCAGTAGTTGCTTTCCCCATACCTTGTGATTACCATGGTTGAGAAGCTAGCATTGTTCAGTAGAGGAATTTCACTTGGGAAAATGCCAAGAAAATAATCATTCAGTTTATATAAAAATATAATTTAGGACAATTTTTTTGAAGAAGCTTCAACCTGGCCACCAGTTTTGCATACCTGATATCTTGCATTCAAAATATAAAGGGGGACTTCAGGAGGATCCCCTAGTTTATGGGAACAACCTGTGCTGGCCTTGTTTACAAGTAGGCAACAAGTCTCAGAGAAGCCTTGTTGACAGAAGGTAAAAAGTCTTTTTATGAAGAATTGTGCTTTCAACATTTCAGTCAGTTTCTAATTATTAGAGTGCAGGATGACACTTAGTGATGGTGGCAGATTATCTCACCTCTGCCAGTGGAGATGTTTTGGCCAGGGCCGGCCCACAATTTTTTGAGGCCCCCTGCAAGAAATAGTTTTGGGGCCCCCTGCCCCAAAAATCCAGTGGTTTGGGGTGGGGGGGATAATGGCAAGTGGCTGAAGAAGCTGGTGACAGTGGTGTGGGGAGGGTGGCAAGCGGCCGGACAGAGGGGGCCCCTGCGTCCGCAGATTTTGCAGCATAGTGCCGGCCCTGGTTTTGGCAGCTTCCTTTGAAGCATCTGGTACAGGCCACTGTCAGACACAATTGGGTGAAGCTCTGTTGCCTCGGGCACCACCAGGGGTTACTAGGAATAATGGCCACAAATTGTTAGAGAGAAGGTTCAGGCTGGACATCAGGAGGCATTACTTTACAGTTGGGGCTGCCAGGCTCTGGAATGGACTCCCAAGGGAGGTGGTGACCTCTCTTACCTTGGGGGTCTTCAAGAGGAGGCTAGATAGATATTTGGCTGGGGTATTATGACCCCAGCACTCGTTCCTGCCAGGGGCAGGGGGTTGGACCTGATGTTCTGTTCAGGTCCCTTCCGACCCTAAGCACTATGAAACAGAGTAGCTGAACTTCAGGTCTGATCTAGCATGGCAGTTCCAGTGTCCCTCAGACTACATCCACAGCTCTACATGTTACTGTCTATGGGTGCAAAAAATAGACACGATTTTTGGATTTTTTTTCCCTGAAGAATGTTGGGCTTTTCTTGATTGGATTTGCTTCTGTTTTGACTTCAAATGCCGCCTAGTGATGCATACATCTCCATGCCATCTCTCCATGGAATAGTTTGGAATGACCAAACTTTTCTTTTACTGAAGGTTCCTAGAGGAGAGCTATGTTTTTGAGGTAGCTTTTGCTTTCATATACTTCTCAAGCCACCAGGCCCTGATCACAAAGCCGAAAGCAGTGTATAATGGTGGGAGAAGAACATAGAAATGATGTGGGATTCAGTTCTTTGAAGTATATAATTTGGTGTATAACTGTAGCATTTCTGAGGTCTGTTATGTACAATAACAAGCATATCTATTATAGGAGCTCAGTGTCAGCTTTGGAAGTATGCTCTGCCTGGTCAGGCAGGGCTAGGGCTGGCTTCTGGCTCCTCCCAGCCCTGGCCCCGCTTGACATGATGTATCTGTTGTAACTAGATACATAAACGTGGGGCATGTTTACTTGCTCTCCATGTGAAGGGGTGGGGCCCTCAACAACTTGCCAAAACTCATCAAGCGGCCCTCTGCCCGAAATAACTGCCCACCCCTGGCTTAGACTAACCTGTGAAGATTGAATCAACTCAGGATTTTTGACTGTCTGTACTTAGCCTTTTTTGTGAACTGACCAAATAGTCTCATTTAGCAGGTGTTTTCATTGCTCAAAATGAACTCTTAAGAAATCCTATTTGAAATCTACAGTTGCTGCCTTTTCCCTGCTTTTCTAATCTCTATAAGAAAAAAAATTACAAAATATTCAGAAGAAATTCTGCACACATACTGAGAATGGATAAATTCACACAACTAAGACTAGAGAGGGGCCCCGTCATTTAAAGTTTGAGTCTTGGATCCAGGCTACCTCAGAGTTTATAAGTGTTAGGAATAGAAGTGTGCTGATACGTTGGTCCCATATTGGATTGGCACCGATATAGGGAAAATTGATTATATTGGCAGTCAACTTTTTTAGTTGATGTGGCTGATAAATGTCCCATGCATGTGCAGCCACAGTGCAGCAAGCAGGTGGCCAGGGGCATAGCCCAGCAGCGTGGAGAGCAGCTGGGTGCAGCTGGTATGTCTGTTGCAAGGGAAGGGGCGTGGGGGTGGGGGGCAGATTGAGGCTCCTATGGTGAGGGAGGGAG